GGCACAGGGTCCGGGGCGTGGGGGTGGGCTCTCCTGCTGCGCCCCGCCTACGCGAGCCCCGCACCGGGCTCCCCCTCACGGCTCCCCTCCCCTTTAGGTTTCCTCCAGATTGCCCTGAACAAGGTGGCCGTGCTGCTGCTGGCTGGCGGGCAGGGTACCCGCCTGGGCGTCACCTACCCCAAGGGCATGTACCAGGTGGGGCTGCCCAGCGGGAAAACACTGTACCAGCTGCAGGCCGAGCGGATCCGGCGCGTGGAGCAGCTGGCTGGCGAGCGCCACGGAACCCGCTGCACCGTGCCTTGGTGCGTCCTTCTGCGCCACTGGGCCCCACTCGGCAACGACCCAGACCGTGCTGGGCCAGGCCCTTGCAGGTGGCTCACTGACGTCTTTCTATCCCTACCAGGTACATCATGACCAGCGAGTTTACGCTGGGACCCACGGCAAAATTCTTCAAGGAGCATGACTTCTTTCACCTGGACCCTGCCAACGTGGTCCTGTTCGAACAACGCATGCTTCCCGCTGTGACCTTCGAGGGCAAGGCCATCTTGGAGCGGAAAGACAAGGTTGCCATGGCCCCAGGTAGACCACCCTGAGAAAGAGGGGCGCATAACCAGGACAACTCAGCGTGCGCAGGGGTCAGGAGGCCTGAGTCCCAGACTGGGGACCTGGGCTGGTCACCTTCCCTCTCTCTGTGAGACAACCTTTGGGCTGTTCTGACAGTGAAGGTCCCAGCGGGCGTTTCCTAGCAGTAACCCTCGGGGAGGCTCATTTCTCTGTCTCTGCAGATGGTAACGGGGGTCTGTACCGTGCTCTGGCGGATCACCAGGTCCTAGAAGACATGGAGCGTCGGGGAGTAGAGTTCGTGCATGTGTACTGTGTGGACAACATCTTGGTGAAGCTGGCCGATCCAGTCTTCATCGGCTTCTGCGTGCTGCGGGGCGCCGACTGTGGCGCCAAGGTGAGCACTGAGCCCCATCAACCACGCCCATCACGGGCCACGCCCAACTCTAGGGAGTCCTGGCCCAGTCCCTTCCCTATGGGTCACACCCACCAACCAAGCCTGCCCCGCCTCCGTGGGCCACGCCCCCAAACTCCCTTCCTTTCTGTAGCCTGGTCCTGCCTCTGTGTGTGTGTGTGGGGGGGTCCTCACCCCAACAGGGCCTCATTCCTATAGGTCAGGCCTACAGGAACCCCACCCACAAGCCCCGCCCCTTGCCCATCCCTGTTTGGTCCAACCTGATCCTCACGCCTCTCTGGTGGGCCCAGGTGGTGGAAAAAGCCTATGCCGAGGAGCCTGTGGGCCTGGTGTGCCAGGTGGATGGTGTCCCCCAGGTGGTGGAGTACAGCGAAATCAGCCCTGAGACTGCAGGGCTTCGTCGGGCCGACGGAGGCCTGCTCTACAGTATGGGCAACATCTGCAACCATTTCTTCACCCGAGGCTTCCTGCAGAGGGTTACCAGGTGTGACAGCAGCAGGCTCTGTGGTGCCAGCCAGGGCCGCCCTCAGTGAGCAATGACTGGTGGTGCCGGATGGGCTGAGAGCCCTGGGCCAAAGCAGCTGGAGGCCAGGCTGGGTGAGGTCAGGAGCAGCCGATGGGTTAGGAGGAGAAGCTTGCATATCAGACAAGCCCAAGCCCCGGAGAGCTGACATGGTCACGCTCTGGTGGCATCTACCTTCCCTGAGCTGGACCTGTGCCTCCCGCCCCTGCCCTGATGTTTGCCCGCTTCCACAGCCAGGCAGGGATTTGGCTAATGGCACCGTGCTTGCTGTCCTGGGGGTACAGGGAGAACTGTGCCTTGTGCCCAACTGCTGGGCTGGCCAGGTGTGCCGGGTCTGACCCTTCTTCCCCTTTGCCCTCCTGCCCCAGGGAATTTGAGCCTTTGCTGAAACCACATGTGGCTGTGAAGAAGGTCCCATACGTGGACGAGGAGGGAAATCTGGTAAAGCCGCTAAAACCGAATGGGATAAAGATGGAGAAGTTTGTGTTTGATGTGTTCCAGTTTGCTAAGTTAGTAGTAGAAGTCACTTATTTTTTCCTTTCTTTCCTCTCGCTGTTCTGGTGGTGGGGTCTGAGCCCCAGCCAGACAGGGCAGTGGTGGTCCGGGAGGGTGCCCCTGCTCCGAGGAAGTGGACTCTGGATGGGAGCATGGGGAACATCTGGGCAGCTGAGGCCCTGGGAGGACTCTGTGGTCCCCTCCACCTTCACCAAGGGCTGGGTGTTCTCAGTGCCAGGACTGGCCTCCAGCCAGACCATGGCTGGTGGGAGCAGCAGGGAGAACTTGAGATAACCAGACTTACTTGCTGCCTGTGGGCCCCCCAGACCTGTGACCCTGGCCGGCCTGGCCTGCCCCTACTGGGCCACCGCCTGGGATATGCAGTGACGGGCGCTTCTTCCTTCCAGGAACTTTGTCGCCTTTGACGTATCTCGAGAGGAAGAGTTTTCCCCGCTGAAAAACGCTGACACAGCTGCCAGGGACAACCGCTGCACTGCCAGGCGGGCCCTGCTGACGCAGCACTACCAGTGGGCGCTGCTGGCTGGGGCCCAGTTCCTGGATGCATACGGGGCCCAGCTTCCTGAGCAGCCTGTGTGAGTGGACCTGGGTGTGTCCTGCGGCAAGGTTGTCAGGACCCAGCCCCAGTCCAGGGCCTCACCCACCATGCTGCTGCTGAAGCAGCACTCTGAACACAGGGCTCTCTGCCCAGCCATCCCTGCAGGAGGGCCTTTGGCTCAGCTCAGCAGCTCAGCCTAATCCCTCAAGTTGTGCTCACGGGAGGTAGGGGGCCGAAAGCCCCAAAATTATTCCTAAGCTTTGAAACCAAAGCTCAGCTGTGACCCTCAGCAAGCAACAGGGTGGCGTGGCTTGGAGCTGGGAAGGAAAAAGGGCCTCTGTCTCCCTGGTTGTCTGGGGGGGACAGCTGGGCCTGGCTACCTAGGTGTGGTTCCCAGCCCACATCAGAGCGTATAGGGAAAGAGCTCACAGAGAAGGGGCTGCAGGGGCTGGTGTGTGGTGCTGGTCTTGCTTTGGAGTGCTGGGTGGCTTGGGGTCCCCAAGAGGCAGTTCCTGACCAGCATATTCTCCACAGCTTGCCCCAAAATGAAGACCCTCCTGCCATTTGTGAGATATCACCCTTAGTATCTTATTCTGGAGAGGTGAGAGTCACCTGTCCCTGTCTGGGGTCTTCTTGGGGTCTGGCTTCCATGAACCAGAGGAAGACTGGGGAGATGTGAGTGCTGAGGTAGACAGATCACCACCCTGCCTCAGTTTACCAGTGGGGTAAATGGTCCCTTAATGTTGCATAGCACCTTCAGGTATGCAAGTGGAGTGAGGTGTCCTGGGAGGGTGTGCTGGGGGCCACCCTAGGCCTGCGGCCAGGCTTGGGCCAGGCAGGTTTTGTGGGAATCTTGCTGGGGGAGGGACACCACTCTACTGATCCCCCACTCATTCCAGGCAGAGTTCGATCCTGCCCCAGGACTGTTGTAGCCACTGAGGGGTGGGCTCTCAGCCCTGGCGTCCTGCTCTTTTCCAGGATTTGGAAGCCTATCTGAGAGGCCGCAAGCTCTGGTCCCCGTTCATCCTGGATGAGGACCAGGCCAGGGTGCTGAGGTCCCAGGAGGCCTGACCTGCTCCCAGACCGGCCAGCTGGTGGGCCTCAGGGTGGGACAAAGCTCTGGCCCTGCTCCAGATGTGCATCTCCAACCTGCAAAACAAGGGAACTGGCCGGCTTACCCCCACAAGGGTGGGAGCTCTTCCACCACTCAGACTCGAGTGATAGCCAGTCTGCTGTGGGCCCTTCGGCTGCATTTCTGACTGAGACAACTGAAAGGCAGAGGGTTTGGGGAGTGGGAGTGGGCGAGAGGAGGCTACGTGGTCTGAGAGGAGCTGCAGAAGGGAAGCCAGCCCTGGTGTTTCACGGGCCCCATGCTCCCTGAGGAGGATAAGAAGGTGCACAGTCCCAGCAGCCCGGGAAAGGCACTGGTTCTGGATCTCAGATCCACTGGGAAGAGGGTGATGGTCTCACCTGCATGCCCAGCTGAGGCCACAGGAGGTGCCCAATTCTCTGGGCTGCCCTGTAGGAGCCCGCCCTGCCTCTCCAGGTTTCTCCCAAGGACCCAGCCTCTCAACTACTGGCAGGCAGTTTGCTGAATTCAAGGGCTTTCCCCAAGGACCTGAGAGACCAGTATGGGGACCACCTGGCTGATTTGGTTTTCAACCCCTCGGGGTCCTTCCCTCATCCATCTGCCTGCAGCTTTTGACAAATCTTGGCACTCTAGGTCTTCCCAAGCTCCCTGTGCTGGATGTGCAGCATCAGTATTTGGTGCCCTGCACCTGGACCATGCTCTGTCTTCTCTTCTGGTGCAGCCGCTCTGAGGGGCGGCACCTCTTCACCTGTGTTCCCTGAGAAGACACTGGCACTCCCCTTCCCACTGAAGTAAGAATAGCTACAGATACTAAGTCATGGCCACCTGACCCCAAGCCACAGCCCTTCCCCATTTGGGACTGTTTGTGCCCATCCAGAAAGGGTGTTGGCCAGAAGGGTGGGTCCATCCAGTGGCCAGGAGGCCCTGAGCCCAGACTAGGGGCAGTGGCAGGCCCATGCTAGCCACAACCTGACCATCACCTAGGCTCTGCCAGGAGCATGGGCCTCGGAGGAAACCGTGTTCCACAGCACCCTTCTCAGTGGATTCCAGGCACGCAAAGGGGTTGCACCAACTAGGTCGGCCTGGCCTGGGTCCACCCCCTACCTGTTCTTCAGGGCCTAAGAGCAAGCTCTTTACATGGGAGTGCGGTGAGGGGATGCTTAGATTAGACCTTTCCACAACGGCCAGCTGATCCCAAGTGACCGTCACAGTCGCCCATTTATCTTTCATGATAACGTGACATCAAACCCAGGACAGACGAGACGGCTCCAGTGCTCCCAGGCGGCGCTCGCGGTTCACACTCCCAACACCGCCTCGGCGATGCACAGCGAACCCCACCTGCAGAGCTCTCCTTCAGGCCACCCCTTCACACTAACACCGCCATCCCTGACCCCACAGCGTCCAGAGAAACAGACTTAGAGATCGCCCATCTGATCTTCACTCCCACAGATGGACCCTCGGAATAAACTCGGGAGCCCTGGCTGACCCTCTCTGGCGGGTGCAGTTGCTCAGGATCCCATGGGTGGCGGGGACTGGGCACCCTGGCAGGCCCGGGAAACCCCTCGTGCTCGTGGTCACGGGGACGCGAGGCCACCTTCACGCGCACCTCGGGTGCCGCGGTCTCCCTGGGACTCGAGCAGCGGCGTCCGCGGGCCTCACAAGGT